CTGGTCTTTGACTAAGGGACGTATCAGATAATCACAACAGAGTTTACTCCTTTGGTTTGGTATTCAGAATTTAAAAAAAAAAAACAGTCCCTTTTAATTCTTGCAAACTAGATGTAATGGTGGTCACATTTGGTCAGCTGTTCTTAAGTAAGATTAGTCTATTTTGTGTTTATGTCACTCTTCTTCCTCTACTTAAATGGTAATGTTTATAGTGATGTAAGAGGCACAGCTGGGGAACGTAAGTCACCCTTTGCTCTCTCCTTCTATTATAAAGATATATATGGCTTCTGTTTTCAGCTGTGTAGTTACCATGCTAGAAATGTGTCTTTAGCACCACTGCAGGTCTTGTATAGTATGATTCAAATTCAAAGAAACACTTGGGATCCTTTGGGAAGGACGTAGCATGGCAGGTTACCTGGAGCGTAACTGAGCGAGATACCATGACTTCTGCTTATGTTCCTGAATGGAGGCCCTGTTGATATTCTTGCCAGTTAAACTAAAGTTTGAAAGCAGTTGTAATAAGCAGGCCATCAGAATTACCTTTGTGGGTACAAATTAGGTATGAAATTATGTTCTGTTCCCAGTGTGTGAGCTATCAGGAGTCTTGAGACTCATCGCTCATCATCTCATCATGGTGAGAGATTTGGGTCCCAAATGTTTGGATCTCCCTGGTCCTCACCTGCAGTTCAGCAGTCACTCCATGTCATAAACCAAACCCCTTCTTGCTCTGCACGGCCCAGAATGGGAGAGCTCTTAACAGGATTACTGCAACTGTCAAATTTCTGAGGACACCTCAGAACAACTTCAATTATTCCATCATGTTAATTGGGAGACATTGCTGTATACCATATACCTCTACGTTTCCTTCCCTACTCCCACCTTGAGACAGCTGGGCTGTACCTCGTTTGTGGATTTGCTGTTTTCCACCATTTATTCTGTTTCCTTCACGTATAAATGTTTTTTAAGAAGAAACCCAGTTAAACTGAACTGCTTTACTGAGTAGGACTGGGCTTACAAACATGTAATGTCAGTGTTCTGTTGGGCCCAGCATCCCTTCTGAAGGTGCTTCTGTGTGCTTTTCTCAGTGTGTAGCATACACTGCTCACAATATTAATTTTGCTTTGAGCATGCAGAGGGCTTTTTAAATGAGTTTGACAACAGATTTAATTATCACTTGTTAGGTATTTTCTCTGTAAACTTCTAGATGTTTCTCTGTGCAGCTGACAGGACATGCATGCAGTGCAGTGCAGCACTGTATTTTCAGACACAAGCAGGAAGAAACAAAGTATTAATGTTGACAGTTTAAAAAAATAAAAAAAAAAAGAAATTCCTTCCAAACTTTCTCATGCCCTGAAGTGAAGGGGTTGAATGTGCCTGTTGCCTTCCGGGAGAACTGGTGTCATTTCCTCAAATGGGTGAAACACCAGAACATTTTAACTCCCAGTGTACCATAATGTGGAAGCAAGTTTACAAGTCTCTGTTCTTAAAGGAGATTGAGTCAGTGTGATCTTTAGTCATTCAATTTAATTTAGGAGAAGAGTCATTAAAAAGTGTGTTGCAAGAAATTTACCCCTGCCTTGCCCAGAAGCTATTCTGATTTATTTCCCTAATAAAATTACCGTCATTATCCTCTGCCTTTAATCTGTCCTGGTTCTTGTACGAAGGCTTCAGATCCACCTTCTGTTTTCATCATACAGTGACCACAAAGCAGATCAGAGTTGGTTTGTTCTTTTCTTTTTTTTCTTTATAAATTTTAGCTCCTTATTTGCAGGCCCACATTATTTGAATGTCTCCCTCTGAAAGTCTCTCAGTAGGCACAAAGCCTCAAACTTAAATGCTAGCCATTATCTGAAGTCTTCTAAAGAAGTAGCCCTGACTATTAAAACAGCTGTGCTTGATGATTATTTAGTGCTACTCTTCAGAGTACTCTTCCTTTTAATCTGTTTCTCAGCAAAAAGGTGACCATGTAAAATGCAAAAGTCACCTTTCATGCTGTTCTGCAAAGCTACAGAACACAGTCAATTGGGGATGTGCTGACTGTGTAGTAGTTGCAAACCTTGGTGTTATGAAAGGGGCTGCCGTGAAGCAGTCTTGTTCTACAAAGTGTAAGGATATGCTGGAATTTCATCAGCTTCAGGTTTTATGAAGTTGTTCAACTATTTAAGGTTTTCCCTTTTTTGGACTTTGAGTCTTTGAATTGAAAGCTAAAATGCAGTTGCTGGTAGAGATGGCAGGTATGGACTTTGCCAGTTGTCAGAATTAAATGATGCATCTTCACCATTTAGTATACAGGACCCAAATAACCCTTGTGTTTTGTAAGGATAGGTAGCTGCCTTACAGTTAAAATTTGGTTTGGTTATTCTTACATTACGTGCTGTGGGTTGGTTCTCTGCAGACTTGGATTATATAAATAAATAAAGTAATTTTATTACTTACTGTAAATCTTGTAAGTTTTATATCAGCTAATCCATACAAGATCAGGTTTTATGGGAAGGACAGGATTAAACTTTTAGGAAAGGAAAAGTAGGTACTGAGGTCCTTACAAGGATGCTGTCATGGTTCTCTGTTCATTTTCTCACAAGGTTTCTAGCTTGCTTGGTGCACCACAACTCTGTAGCTCCATGTGACCCAACTGGTTAGGTTTGTTTAGCTGCAGTGTAGGGAAGGCCCTGAGCAAGAGAGGAGAAAAAAAGGTTTCCATTTCTAATTCTGGAAAATAGAAAAAGGTATTTAAATAAGGCCTGGAGGACGTCTTATTTGCCAGGAGTATGTAAAAAGGCAAGTTTATATCCTTTTGTAATGCACTGTAATTGAAAGGATGTATATTTCTTTTCCTAAAGTCAGCAGAAAAATCCTGGCCTCATAATGAAAAAAGGCTTTTTAAAAACTTTCTCCTAAGCACAAAGAGCTGAAGTTTCCACTTTAAACTTGGGTGGCTCATTCATATTTCACTTAATGGTAATATGGTATTCTCTTTCTCCCTCCCCCTTCTTACCACCAAGGCTAAAAAGGAGGAGGGGACATATAAAATGTTTCTGAAAATTACAGGAAATGTCTGTTCCTTTAACAGCATTGCCAGGGAATTTCCAAATGCGCTTAATGCTTATGGCTGAACTTGCAGCAGCTCGGTCTTCAGTCGTGAGTGGATCCTGTTCTAAAAATGTGATACCTCCTTCCAGTAAACTGTGTTGAAATTGAGTGTATGCTTTGGTTTTCATCTGCTCTTCAGCAGAGTTAATTGCACCCAATGGTGAAATGAGGGCTCTTGGGGGCTGCTTTAAAAACCTGTTTTGCTTCTATTTATTGAAGTGTGGAAAATGGTATATAGTTTCCTGAAGGGGTAGCTGGTTTATTTGTAAGGACTTTGGAGAGGCATGGGGTGGCAGCTACCAGTGAATGTGAAGACTACCTCACAGTGTTCAGAGACTTCAGCAACTGCTTGTGAAGCAGTAAGGAGCAAAGAGGGAGATGCTTTTTGTCCCAGTATTTTGTTTCCTTGGGCTGTCACAAGGTGGTCTCTGATCATAGGGTCTTGTCTCTAGCCTAATCAGTGTTGAGCACCAGGTTAGTTTTAATTTCCATTGATGAGATTAGAAAAGGGGATAGCGACAGATACAGTGAGTAGGATGAGTTTTTTCTTCATTCTCCTTTGCCTTCTGCCAGGCTTCTGTCACTGGATTAGGGGAAGAAGCAAGGGAGATCTGCAGAGCCTTTTCTTGGGCTCAAAAGGGCGTCTGCCAGCCCAGGCAGGCAGAGGGAGGAAGACATGGCACAGTCTTCCACAGTCCACCAGGTCTTCTCATCCACCTCTCTGCCCTGCTGCTCTCACATACTTACACCTGTGTGCTAATGGTGGGCAAGTGAGAGGATCTCCAGCCTGGGATACCCTAGGGACAAACACACAGGTCCCAAACAGGGGCTCCGTCCCAGTGGGCAGAGCATGTTCTGGGTAACAAACTCTCATTACGTGTCTGAAGGGCTCTAGCCCCATGTTCTGCTGCTGGTGTTGGCAGGGTTTTTAGAGCAGTTGCGTAAAGACAGAGAGGTGATTCTTGTAGCTCCTTTTCTTGCGAGGTGACGTGGGATATGACTGTTGTAATGTGCTCAGCCCTCTGCTACAGTGGCTCTTTGTGGTTGTCGTATAGTTTACTACTTGGTTGGGAGCCACTCCTGGGTTTCGTAATACGGCAGTGCTCGGCAATAATTTATTACCATGGTTTATATTACAGTGATTAAGCGGAGCTGTCATCTCTTGATTGTGATGATTTGAATCTTGTTTTTAGCTGCCCAGGAAACGGTTTGGAATTGACACTAATGTGTTTGTTTTTACTTCCTCGTGTAAAGGTTGTAATTTAATTTGTTCACCTAGGAACAGCAAGTACTTTGTATAGAAGTTGTACGGGTATGACTATACGTAATGATTGCTGACGCCAGCGTTACCAGTTTCCAGTGTTGACTTTTCTAGTGTGTGGGGAGGTGGGATTAATTACCTGAGACGTTCTGTTTTCGTTAGTCTTTGTGAAAAATATAGTTGTAGTCAGACTTACATATGGCAGTCTCCTATATTAACAGACACTGAGTGATAGTGTGTGTGAACTTCCTTGAATTCAGGCAAGTGCTTCACCCATAGGTCCTAGTTACAGATTAGTTTTCTAGCAAGAAAATGTGTCAAATTTTTTTGAAGGCTACTATTGCTTGGGGTTTTTTTGCTTGTTGGTTTGGTTTTTATTTAAGTATCTCCAGCCTTTTTAAAGATAGTTGGGAGATTTGCTCTAGGGTTTTTTCTTTCCTTTTAGAAAATCAGTATAACATCGCTCTCTATTTCAGACCCTTTCCATGTAAACTAATGCTAGCATTTATAAAACTCTTCTCACTTAGGTTTTCACATGTTTGGGGGAGTTTTACAGCAAATGACTGCACTGAAAGTGTGAAATCTGTTTTCTGGGATGTTTTTTGTCTTGTAATAAGGATCTTTTTTTTTTTCCCTCAACTATGTTTAGGTATTTCATTCTGCTGACCTCTGTATGTGGATCGCCCTTTGTCCTGTTCAGCCCATTTAGATTTTGACTTATACGTAGGTGAGTAATTGCTTTTAACATGAAATGATAAATTCTGGGCTACTTTGACATGAATTCATTTCATTTGCTTTGACTTGGAAGTCATACAGTTAGAATCATCTTCTAAAAATCCATTTACACTTCTCCTGGTTGCCTAGTGTCACAAGCAATATAAAACTAAGAATGTTATGTATTACAGTATTTGTTTGGAGTGGATTAGGTAAGCTTTCATTCTTGGTGTCACAGAGCTATATGCTGTGAACTTGCAATGAAAAAGTATTTTGAAATGAAAAGAGCTTCTTGCTTGTATGGGTGGAGAAGGGAGTCCCTAGATAAAGCCTGAGCTGTTGAGCAGAGTGACGTAACAGATCAAGAGCATGTTCTAACGCTTCCCATGAGCTCACATTCTATCAAGTTTCCCTGCTATAATACTTAAAAATGTCTGTTGTTCCACAGTAAATGTCAAAGAGGTTGGCTTCTTGGTAAATGCAAGTGATGGCAATCTGGTTTATTGCTTACAGTTGGTGATGGTGCATGGATGATTCTTGCAAGAACATTGAACATATTTGAGGGCTATGTTGGTAGTAGGTCAGCAAAATGTTTTGGTGGTGTGGGTTTTGGTTTTGGTTTGGTTTTGGTAGTAGAGCACATTATATTATTTCAAATATCACTATTTATATGAAAAGCAGTGTCTTACTGGTATCTAAATAGAAGGTCCATTCATTTTGCTTAGCCCAACTATCTTAGAGGTAGGTGTAGTAGGCGTAGAAACTGAACGAGCTTGAAACTCTAGACTGGGGTCTTTTATGCAGCTTATGTATGAGAAATTGATTACTTTTCTGATTTTATCTCTCCATATATCAGTCTTAGTTTGGAGAAGGAGAAAAAACATGGTATTGTCCATTCTGACTGCTTACATAGATCTAAGTACAGATGTGCTGAAAGCAGGAGAGGAGGGAGCAGCCATTCTGATCATAGGGATAAGCAAAGGAAAGCAGCAAGAAATTCTTAAAACTTCTTTTCTTTTATGAACATGGTACATAAGAGACTTAAAAAATATTAAAAATGTATGTGTTTCTATTTGAGTGACTTCCTCACTGCTCTTCTCTCTTGCACTAAAGTGGAGTGTGCTTGGTAGAGTGGGGGAAAGTCTGTGTTCTTCAACTCCCCTCAATCAATGTGAGAAAATGTTGGGCTTATGAGATGATGACACTTACTTGAGTCACCTCAAAAGCCAAAACACCCTCATTCCCCTCAGTTGAGAACGCGAGCCCTTGTTAACAGGGCTCTTTTAAATCACAAGCATTTGTAATCTCATTCCTGTGTGGTCTGCACAATGGCAGGCAAGACATAGGCTTATTGTAACTTCAGCTACATTTTTTCACCCAGACTTTACACTTTATTACAGAGTTGTCAATCTGGAATTTATTGGCTTGCTTGCTAAATTCAGAAGAAGTATAGCCATTTCTCACTTTCACTTAAAAATCTTATTTCCCTTGTGCTCCGTAGACAGACACTTTGGGTTATGTAGGAACTTGGAGAGGGATTGGCCCTCCTTGGTTGTCACTCAGTCTCTAGCAGAATAGGTTACAAGCATCTCTCCAGAGCAACTTTTATTTCTGTCTTTCTGAGGCTGGCGAGGGAATGCTGTGACTGTCATAGATGGTGGGAAGGGGTGGGGGGGAAATCTTGCAGGAGTGGCAATTCACCCTGTGATACTCAGATCAGGAGTTCCTTTCTGATGCAGGAGTTTGTGCAGGCTTGTTCGTTGAGTATCACCTGTGGCTGTGGTGATAGGGACTGGTATGATATTGGCACCAGATACTGAACCACTGTCAGCTCCCAGCTAAGTAACACTGAAGCCAAATACTCCTTTGAAAACAGCTGATGTGCTCGCAAGTGGCATGTTTCCTGCAGTTTAGGATCTCCTGACTCTGTGTTTTGATTCAGCTTTTGCGTTTCTTTTTTATGCTGGTGCCCATCCTGAGTAACATGAAAGGAAGCTTGGCTGTAGGAGCAGATAGTGTTTTTCTCATATGTGCATGTGTTTGCTTCTAGACAGCAGAAAAACACACGGTTTTAAAAAGATCAACTTTCAGGTGTCTCAAGCTGACTATGCAAGAGCTGCCCTTCAGGACTTTCTGATGTCCAGGTGCTGTAAAGTTATTAGGTTGGCATTTAGCCATGCAGTACTGATGTATGCAGGAGCATTGCTGTATGCACCTGACAAAGCAGGCATTGGTGACGTTGGGAACACAGTTGCTGAGTGATTGTGACACCAAAGTCCAACTTCAAGGTTATCTTCTTACGTGAGGTAGACAGTCTTTCAGAGATTGTAGCAAGGCTTCTAGAAGCTCTTTGCTAGTTCCTTAACCAAGGTAGAATTAGAGCATCCTTCTGAGAATTTTAAAAATACATTCTTCTTCATCTGCCTCTTTAAAAAAAGTTGCTATTATATGAGTCAAAGACTGAGATCATTAAAAAAGACATCATGCCATGATGCAAGGGAATTGCTTGGACTCAAAATCATAGAAGTGAAATTAGTAGTGCAAACAAAACGTGAGTTATTTTGACTGAAGAATCAAGCACACAACTTTAGTGCCAGGCTTACAGTTAAGTGGTTGCTTGCTTCGCTCCATCTGAGCCATTTGGGATGGTGGCAAAGAGAGATCCTGTAGTTCTGCGGCAGCATTACATACACATGTTGGAGATCCACTATTGGTTGTATGGAAGGTTGTAGTGTTTTTGTTATTTTGGTAGGGAAAAACTGAAAACACTTGGCAAGTTTGGAACAGATCTTTCTAGCTTTACAGTGAGTTAAAAGTTCAGGTTTTTTCTTTAAAAGATATAACAGTGCCATGTTCCAGTCCATCTACAAGGAGAAAGAAGCCGTGCAGTGTTACCAGTATATATGTGACTTCATGCAGTATTCCCATAGCCCAATTCGGGATCACTTTTCCGTAATCCTGATTTCAGTGTAGAACATCCTATGACTAAGATGGTTTCCTAGCTTGAAGATCACCAACATAATGGCCTGTTTAGGGCAAAGCATTCATTATACTGCATCATTTTATGAGACACTATGGTGTCAATACATACCACTATGATCCAAGTCACAAATAGCGCTGCAGAAAGAGAACACTCAAGAAACTGAATTTTAGGTTTTTACAAACTATGATTAGGAATGAAACGTGTAACACCTTATAGTAGCTAAATGATAAGAGCAGTCACCAGGAAGGGGAGGAGAGCTCTAGTGTTTAGCTGAAGTAAGAGGCTGCCAGTTTCTCTTGTTTAGATAGGTCCCAAGGAAGAGTCCCAAAGGCTGATAGGACCAGAAAGAGAATTAAACAAAATGAAACTCTGTAACTGAAAGAAAATGTTGTTCTTCCCCTGCCCAATGGAGCTGTTCCTGTAAAAATAGGATTTCAATCACAGTAACTTGAGGTGACATTTCTGTCAAGTTTTCTACTTTCAGGCCGTGGGCAGAATGCTTTCAGAAACCTAACACATAGATATATGTAAAGGTAATGGTGCTATCTAAAAGGATTGTTGACTGGTGGCCCACATGCGTTATGTTGTTTACATGCTTTTTTCCTAGTCACCATATATGACTGGTTTGAGTTCTTTTTAAGGGTTTTTTGAAACAAACTTCCATCACATGAGAGTGAAGGCTGAGACAGTGAGCAGTAAGCATTTAGAAGATTAGAAATCTAACCAAACTGAAAGTTGCAGAATAAAGATTACATCTTTTTAACAGCCTCCGGTTTAGAGATCTGTAGTTTCTCAGCTGCTTTATTTTCCTGTTATTACTTGGACTTTAAATCAGCAATTTACCCATCAAAACAAACTGTCTAGTTCATGAACAAACTGTCTAGCTCACAAAGGAGCTTGAGCCAATTCCCACTAGAGCCAGTGGAAAAGTTTTCATTGAGTTCAGTGGGTTTGGTATCTGGCAGTCGTTGATACAAATAAAAGAGAATCAAAATTCCTGACAGGACATGTTAAGAGAAAGAAGAAGAATTAAAAAAAAAAAAAAAGCAGAATATTTTTTTCTCTCTGGAAAAAAATGGACACAACTATCAAGTTTCACTTCTCCCACTTGCATAATGCCATGGTCCTGTAATACCTTCCTCAGGCCAGTATATAGTGACTGCTCTTTGAGGGAGGAATATCTCTGAAAATAAAGTTGTAAAGATAGGGTTTTTTTTTAAAAATAGGTTTAATTAAGGCTTGGGGTAGTAATTTTTCCAATAATATTTGTGGTTTAGAGCAACATGCATTTCACTGCTGTACACTTCCATTGATCTGGACAAACTTAAAAGCACCGGCTCTGTAGCACTAGAGTCAGGGCAAAGAGAAAATCACATCTTGTTAACCTAATGGCTGTTTATGTGAAACGTGGTGGGTTTGAGTTGCTACATGAAACTCTTAACCAAACAAGTTTCTTTCAGTTTCCTTTTTGGGTTGTTCAGGTGAAGGTTGCGCTTTTCTCAGAATTTATTTAAGATTTTGTCTATGTTGATCTGTATAATATATTTAATCAGTAAAACATCTGCTGACCTGGGATTTCCCATTGCTAAACAGAACTGACCTATTGCTGTAACAGGACTTTCAATAACTATCTATAGGTTAGTTTCAATTCATTACTTCTGTTGCAATTAATATAGATAGCAAACATTTCAAACTGGAGCAGCAAGTCAAGGCAATAAGTAAAATCTAAGTTTTCCATCTGAACCTCTTGAAATATTTATTAATATTTAAAGTCTTCATTCTCATATATACCTCTATATGCAGTAAGACTCCAGGAAGACATAGCCTCATAACTTGCTTCTGTTCACAAATGCTTTACTGCCTCAAGGGTGTTAATTAAGTAGATTTTGGTTTTCTTCATCTGGCCAGTTCAGTTTTGTGATACTTGTGTTATTTTGCTTTGCTCCAGCCAGGAGAAAGCAGAGGTAGAAAGGCTCTTTGGGTCATAGGTTGTGTGGCATGGGCCAGAACTGACATAAGAGTTGCTTGAAGGCACACTGCCTTGTACAAGAGGTGTTGCATAGTTCTGCTGACCTAAAATCACTTCCCCTGACAGGGAAAGGGAGTGCGATGGTACGAGACATGCAAACTGACGTGGTTTTTTGCTGAGCTGGCTTTACCCTGCACTGATCTGAGTGCAGATTAGTCTGCCACACTAACAAGGTGAGGAGCTGTCAGGCTTGTTCTTTCACGGACAAGCTCTAACCTGTGGGCTCTGCTACCTCAGTTGAAGAAGTCATCACCCTCAGCTATCCCCTCTTGCTGGAGCTGGTGACCAAGGCAGCTCAACATATGGTTTGTCTTACTGTTGCAGCCTTTCAGTTCTTAAAAGGGGCCTATAACAAACATGGGGAGAGACTTTTTATGAGCACCTGTTGTGATAGGATGGGGGGTGATGGTTTTAAACTAAAAGAGGGGAGATTCAAGCTGGACATGAGGAATACTTTTTTTACAGTGAGGGTGGTAAAACACTGGCACAGGCTGCCCTGAGAGGTGGTGGATGCACCGTCCCTGGAGACATTCAGGGCCAGGCTGGATATTGTTCTGGGCAACCTGATTGAGTTGAAGATGTTCCTGCTCATCGTAGGGGGGTTGGACTAGATGACCTTTGAAGGTCCCTTCCAACCCAAACTGTTCTATGACTCTATTCTGTGCCTCTAATGTCCCATCTACTTCAGAAGGTCCGAAGACAGTACTCACTGCTATATATTCCAGTAGTGTATTCATGAGGCCTTCATTTCCACGTCTGGTGGTTAATTCAAATAAAATGCTTGTGTTTTGTTGTAGTATCTTATTCTGGTTTCTCTTCAACCATGTTCTTAAAGAAAAGAGGTGGACGTATGTTTTGTCTCTTCTTTTACACAGTTTCAGTTCCCCAGTTCGCAGTGCTGGTTTGTGAAATACTTTCCAGGGCATTAAACTTTAAAAATGTATCTTAGTTAATTTTACAACTTCTTACTAAGTGGTGAAGTACTGAAACACATTTAATTAGTTTTGCTATTGAAAGGAATGCATGATTTAGGGTAGTATATCTTAATTATATTCTAACAAAGTCTTGTGAAGAGGCAGAGCTAGTGGTAAAAAGAGTCCGCAATTAAGACATGGTATGTTGCCTGAAATCAAGATAATTGTCCAGGCAAGATCATTGGAATAGCTTCAGAGACTGCAATTGCGACTGCTCTCTCTAGGTGTTTGGCCTATATAGCAGAGAGGGGAACTTCTCAGGAGCGTATTTATTATATGGTACAGACTACTGTGCAGTTGGCCTCAGAGTTGAACGTTTTGTTCTGCAAACTTGCATGGCCTCATCTGGTTTGTGGTTTATTTATTTTTTTTTCATCTTCCCTTTCTTACAGGCTCTTAGTCCGGTGTAAAGCTGATGGGTGGGCGCAAAGGTAAAGAATGATGTAATTCAGCAGCCACCAGAAAGCATCTTTTGTTTGAATTGTAAAATGGCTACTCCATAGTCATCTCCCAATGAATCAGATGTGAGGGGCTGCTTTGTGGAATGCACCCTTTGTAACGGCACATCAACTGGAAGCAGGAGGAGACATTCAGTTGAAGAGCTCTTTCTGAAAATGGGTTTAACTTTTCTTTTGCCAGTCACTACCAGCATGACCTCATACACTTCTAGTACAATGGTGTGGCTAAGCCTTTGAGTACACAGCCATTACATCATCGCAGCAAATTAGAGAGGGAGGTGGTGAAAGAGGCCTTATTGTTGTCATGGCCGATGAGATGATCAGGACTCAACTCATTGTCGCCGAGAAGTTGGTGGCTTTGCTGGAGAGTGGTACAGAAAAACTGCTGCTGATTGATAGCCGCCCCTTTGTGGAATACAATACGTCCCACATCTTGGATGCCATCAACATCAACTGCTCCAAGCTTATGAAGCGGAGGCTGCAGCAGGATAAAGTTTTGATTACTGAGCTCATTCAGCATTCAGCAAAACACAAGGTAGGGGTCATTTTCTGCTTATTCTTTGTATTTGGTTAAAAGAGTGCCTGGAAGGCAACTTGTAGTAGTTTTTCTTTAGATATTTCATTTTAAGAGTCCAAAACTAAGAGACTGAGGTTTGCTGAGCTCTTACCTGATGTAAGAGACTCTTGGATACTACTAAGTTTATCTTTGGGATTCTTTGTAGCCCAGTTTTCCCTAAGTGACAGAGTAATGGAAAGGGATTTAGAAATTACTCAGAAAGAATGCTCTCAGCATTCTTGTATGTCTGTCAAAGCCCAGTCCCTAAAATGTATGTCATTAAGGCAGGAAACATTCTCCTTCTAAACTTTGAAGGATTCTTTAGGGTCTGTGGTGGTGGGGATTGCTTAGAAAGTCGTCATACAGTTTTCAAAGAAACCATAGCTCTGTCAATCCTGGCTTTTACTTTCTGTTAAAAATGCTTTTTGTGGGAGGAGTTTGATGGGGTTTGATTGTTGGGTTTGTTTGGTTTGGTCAGGGGTTTTAGTTTTGTTTTGTTTCTTTTTTCTTTAAATAGTGTTATCAGTGAAAAGAAATCAGCTGAGCTGTTTAAACTTAATGTGTATCTGTGTGTGAGGTTTGGGTTTCTTTTTTTAATCCACTGGTACTTGTTTCAAATGTTTTACTGAGTACAAAAAAAAATCTATTACATTCTTGCTTTGACATGTTAAAAACTGAATACGATGATGTTATCTAAAGCATATTTTATATATAAAGTTCAGTAGATGGTTAAAATGTGTGTAGCTTTAGGCAGTTAAAGGTCTCTTTATACACAAAAACCCCAAAGCAGAAACTGAGGTAGGGCCTTCTATTTAAAAAGCTTAGTTTTTAAGCTAACCAACCAACCTAGCTGAAAGTGAAGCATTTTACAAGTGACATAAAACTATCTAATAGCAGAAGTTTAGAGAGTGTGCTTCAACTTGGAGCACATAATCAATTTGCAGTCTCAAAGGGATTAAATTGGATCAGACATGTTAAGTTTTTATTTTAAACTGTTTTGTATACAGCTGTATAAGAAATCTGTATCTGAGCTGCTGTATAGCAAATACGTGGGAACCCTGAGGTGGGTGATAATGTGGTGCTTTAATCATCTTCCTTGACATCTTATTGTGAACTACTTGTGTTTCAGATTGAAATTGATTGCAAGCAGGAAGTGGTGGTGTATGACCAAAGCTCTAAAGATGTGTCCTCTCTCTCATCTGACTGCTTTCTTACTGTGCTCCTGGGCAAACTGGAGAAGAATTTCAGCTCTGTGTATCTGCTTTCAGGTATGATGTACCAAGGAAAAAACCTCTTGAATAAGTGAAGAAATAAAATGCTATCATTAAGTAGACATGTACACTGTTTTGTAACAGTGCTGGTACAAATTTCAGTTGCAGCATAGTTTTTCCTGTGGTTATTTAAGCATATAGTGGCACTCACATATAAACGCTTAGAAATGATATCTTACAGGGGATATATTACACCATTAGTACTGTGTACATGGAAACTGCTCAATGCAGGTTTTTTTAGATGCAGTTGTCTCTATTTTAGGGGCAAAAATAGCAAACAAAATGTTTTTCCTTGGTCTTTTAAGTAATGCATGTGCTAGGAAGAAAATCTGATCCTCACTGTATTGGTAATTATTACAGTGAGAACAAGAGAAATGCTCTTCCTGAGTTATGGAGATTATTTTGTGTGACATCTTAAACTTCAGCTCCTTATGTGGTAGCGCTCTATTTAGTTAGGTCTTCTCTCTCCCCATCTATTTATTTATTTATTTAAATTCTAGATCTAAGCATTCATAGACATTAAAGTCTTTATAATACAGGATTTGTTGGTGTGGAAGTGTGCTTGTGGTGTCATTTCTGTCATGGAACAGTAGACCCACTGTTCACAAAAAGGAATAAGGAGGGACATGAAGGAGATCCAGGGCGAAAGAAGAAGGAATGGCGAATACAAGTAGGAAATCCATTTGCAGTGAGTCAGTTGGTGATCTAATGAAGTGTATACATAGTCGCTGAGAAATAGTAAAACTACAGTCAGAAACTGAATAATGATGAGGAAATGGGAAAGAGAACTCCAGAGAGATACTTCCTCTTAGCAAGAAGCTTTCACTGGGGTTTGTATTGACTTCAGATGAAAGTGATAGGGAGGTGGTTGGGTTACTGAAAGAACCTTTCTCAAACTATTTGGAAAGTGAGTACAGAGAAAATGCGTAAATTTTTGCACTTGGGCAGCTGCGTTTGGTGCTCATATGAGCTGTACTTAAACAAAGTAGGGTTTTGCTTTGGCTGTGTTTGGTGCTTCCGTTTTCTTTGCTGTCTTGGTAAAGATTATACCTGTGGGTTGTGAACTACAATATTGGAATAAGTAACAGTTCTTCCATACAAGCTTCCAAGTAAATGGGTGGTGTCTAGGCACAGTGAATGTTTAATATAAAAGCAATGAAATATGTGGTTGATACTCCTGTAAATTTGAAACTTATTTAAAAAATAAGCTAATATAGAAGCAGTTCATTTCTCTTAAGACATCCTTTTATTGTTCAAATACCCAACTCTGCTCATCTGTCCTGAGATTTCTTTAATAACCAGAAGTGTATTAGAGCTCCATGCAGCAATACAGACTATTCACAACTTAATTTCCATGACAGAACAAGATACAGCTCTCTAATAACTGAGAGTTACACTTCATGGCAGGGAGGAGTTGTGGGGAATCCTTAATAAGGGCAAGCAGAGGGGAGTGTCACAAAACTTCCCTTCCTTCTACTGTCCTGCTACAGACAAGATAGATGAAACATGGCTTTGATCATGTATTTCCTCTGCTGGACCCCATGCAGGAGATGGTTAGAGTGTCTCCATTCTCAGACTTTCCCATGGCTCCTGTAAGAATGGACAGTACCAGGAAGGGACCATTCCCCAGTTTCCAAGTGCACACCAGTTGCATGTATCATAATGATGCTATGAAAAATAGATTTGGTTTTATTTCTAGCACACAGTAGTCGTCTGTTAAAGCTGAAAATGTAACTTAAACCACATGTAAAGATACTAGTGTGCATTAGCTAGGTGAGGTGAACTTAGCTATGTGCAGCTGGTAAGGATTATTTTGGGTGTCAGAGAGAGGGAAAGGGGATCTAATGCATTAAAACACTGTTTATACAAAGGAGGATTTTTATTTTAGCATATCAATGCATTTTTCGTAGAAAACATTATATTTGACAGTTTAATCTTATTTTTGGTTAAATAGCAATAAGGATATTTATGAGTGCAAAAACAACTGATGGCTTTAAAACCAGTGGTTAGAGGAGTATAGAAAAAAAGGGGAATATAGGGGGAAGGGTTTACTCCTGATCTATTACAGATTAGTGCTTATTTCAGGAAATATACCCAACTAAGATGGCAGTAATGAATGTCAGTTGTATTACTTCAGCTCTCTACCATTTTCTTCTTTTATAATACGTTTGTTCTGATTTTAATCCTTACACAAGAAAAAGCATTTCACAGTCTTCTTGTTTTCTTGCATCTATTAAAAAACTAGCTACTTACTAAACACACCCACCCAAGAAACCTTAGGGATGTGGGGTGAAAAAGAAGATGCTAGATTCAGTGTTATGGAAAGCATCTTGGTGATTATTGATATGTGGCTCTAGAAAACTAGATAAAATGTGTTGTCTCAGCAAGCTGATGACGAACTCTCATAAATGTTTATGGCTGATAATGAGAGTAAGGGTCAGTGCACCATGTAAAAAGAGCAACCTTTGGACTTCAGTTTTCTCTGTGCCGCTCAATCAGGTTTATTTAAAATAGTGATCTTAAGTAAACACTGGGGGGTAGGAAACTATTTTTTTTTATTGGGATAGAATAAGGACCAATTAACAAGTATCTGAAATTCCTGCATCTGTTCTTCCTGCCTCCCCCCATTACTGAGCAGTCGATGAGGTGGGGTTTTATTTAGGTTGTGCATAAAGGTATGTTCTACCCTGGAGGTTATTTTTCGGTAGCTGTAAATGTAAAGACCTCAGAGGAACCCCTGCCAGTTGGTTTAAGCTCTTGATCTAACCTCATAGATATACCTATAATCTGCTGGAGAGTGTTTTCAGGAATTTGGTTTAGTTCTTAACAGTGCACAAAACACTGAAATACGGGTACTGAAGGCTTAACCCCAGTCCCATCACTGCATCTACTCTGGTGAGTTAAATAAGATTTAAACATGGAGATGTTCTCTTTGAGAACTTTATTTACTTTCATGGAGTCCTTTTCCTAGTTATAGTGTTTTTATGATGTTCCTGCTTGCTCTTTAGAAACAAGAGAGACTACTGATTCTTGCTTGAATTACAATTAAAGCTATAAACATCAAGAGTCTTGCTTCTATTCCACTACGCCAATGAGAATCATTCGTGTCATACTTTCCTACACACCCTTCCCTACTTCTGTTAATCTGTTTTACTCCTGCTTGAGCAAGTATAGATGTCTATGTGATGGTTACCTGTCAAATTTTGCCTGTACAGAAAATGAAACCCATCTTTTTATTTTGTGTTGGGTTTTTATGTTTTTTTTGTTTTTTTTTTAATGGAAGACTCAACAGTCTTGTTGAGGAAGGATTTCTGAAAGGGAAGAAACCCAACTAGCCAACCACCCAACAACCCCCTAAGCCAGAGACCAGAGAAATGCCTACCTTTCTGTATTTCCAGCCTGATGTTAAAACTTGTAAGGAGCCCCAGACAGACAGATTGTACTGGTTCTGAACTGAAGCCAAAAGCGAGAATTCTTGTACGTGGGTGGTGGATGTGGAGCAGTGTTAAATGTCCAAGAAGGACTAGCTAAACTTCAGAGTATTGTAATGCAGGGTCATAGAAACAGTTTCACTGAACTCTCTAGGAATTTCTTAGTGCTGCACGGTGACAATGTATTTTGTGAGCAACCAACCAAGGACATATTTTTCTGTCAGTGGCAAACAGAATGAGTTCAGTGAGATTGGGCAAAGGTCCTGGAAACAAAGTAGTGATTAGCCAGGGACTGTTGCAAAAGGTATGTTTTTGCTGGAGTCCCAAATCGTTGTTTTCCCTCTGACCTGTCCCTCACCTGACAAGTGTGTGTACAGAAGGGAAGGCTTGCGTGGAGGATGCAAGAAGGAAACAAGTTAGGAACTCTTCTACAGTCTTGTTTATGCTGGCTTTTTTCTTAAAAATATTTGAAATTGGAAGCCCATTTAAAGGAATCCTAGTATAGAAATGCCAGTATCTCTAGGGTACGTTTATCATGGCGTTGTATCTACTTGCCTAAAGCAAAGCTGGACAGAAAAAAAGCCCAGTGCTCTCTCCCTGCTTTGTCACTAGAGAAAACATGCCTTGTGGCAGAGGAGAAGGAAATCTTAACAATATTCCCTTATAGGTAGAGCTGGTAATTTTTATCTCCTGAAGTGACCAGCGCTGCAAGACCTGAGCTTTCTTCCCCACTTCTGCAGCCCCATATGCCAAGCAGGAGGGTACCCAGTGTGGACTGAAAGATGGCATGATGTAGCTGTGGTTTGTGCCATCTGATAAACTCCTGTCTGACATCTTTAACACTGTTTAAGTGTTAATCTTTAACACTATTTAAGTGTTAAAGTGTTAAGTTTTGGAGCTTAGTAATTTCTGGTTGTGGCTGACTGAAGTTCTGAGTGTTCCCAATATGTAAGTCTTTGCAGAGTCCCGCAAGGAGAAGAGCACACCTTCAAACGGTGGTCATAGGTTAAAATAGTCAAGTCATCTGCAAACTGAATTAATTAGAGCGAGAATGAGCTCTTAAATACCCTGCCAGTGTTCAGAGAAGGAAGGATGGTAGCACAATGATGCCAGCTTTCATGGTACTCAGGCTGATGCTATTAGAAGCAAATCTATTGAAAGAGGTAAAAACTTTGCCGAGGGAGTGCAGTATTCCCCAAGTGGTCCTGTAACCCATGGAGTTCAGCCAGTATCAGTGGGGAGGAGACAAGAGTGAGAGAGGAGCTTAGCTGTGAATCACCCTCTTCAAAAGTCTCCCTTTCCATCAATTTTTAATGAGAGTGAGGAGAAACTAGTACCTTTGGCTACAGCCAGTCCTCTGCGAATATCCTCCCACCCTTTGTACTTAAAATGTAGTTTTGAGTGTTCGTTCAGTGCCATGATTGTTTTAAGCACTTGAAGAATGGGAGTAGGGTTTATTACTTTCATATGTGTATCCACTTGCTGTCTTTTGACAGGGAGAACAAAGTTTGACTAGTGTGGAGCTCTCATAACATTTCTCAAACCCAAGAATAACTTGTTAAGTTT